TCAAAATCGAAAGGGGTCGGCCGAAAAGTGATTGATTTGACATGGGACCCTATTAATAAAATATGTCCACCCAAGTTTTGAGTTCTTGAATATATGAAATCTTGTGCATTTCATATATGACGCCAAAAATAATATCAAAATTTTGGCTACTCAATTTTTTAAAATAATTTGATATTTTTAAAATATTACAAATATGAATTTATTATTATTATTATGTAATTATTATATGCAAAATAAAAGTATTATCACGATAAAATAACCCAAAACAATATAAATATTGGATCGGATTTTCTAAAATCGGCATACCCTTACTTGTAAATAAGACAATAAATGAATGTTTCAATCAATAAAATAAATGTATATGGGCAAATGTGATAATTGACCAGGGTCAACACATTTAAACGATCAAATAGAAATATTGTTTCGTTCTAAGGACATCAAATTTATAACATACAAATAATGGCTATCCGTAGATAAAACCACTCTTGAAACAATAACCAAGCCAGTAGATAATACCTTTTCTGAAAAAATGAACGCAACAATCGTTGTTTTAAAACAATCTAAAATTCAGTGTTGTTAAAATAGCGCGCTACAAGTAGCGCGCTACTTTTTAAAAAATAGCGATAGCGGTAGCTCGCTACTAATTTAGAAAGTAGCGAAGTAGCATTTTACATAATAAATACATCTAAAAATTATTAAAATATATTTTTTATAAAATCTAAAATTATAATCCTTTTATTTAATTTAATTTTTAAATTTATATTTAAAAATATACATTATTGTTATATATTAGATATAAACAGTTGTTAAATAGCAATCTGTATTTAATTTATATTTCGCGCATTCATTAAATTATATATTTTTGAAATTCCGTTATTGGTATGTCCTTGCTTTTATCTTATTTTATATTTCATTACATTTTATATTAAGCATTATAAATCTTGTTATGTGTGAGATTGTTGAAGATATTGAAATTTCTTTGGAAAATGAGCAAAATATAGATGATCCTTTCCCAAAATTCAAGAAATACTTTAACCTTGAAGAAAAAATTAATACTGGATATCGGTTTTGGTGCAAGATGTGCCGCAAAATTATCTCTTCAAATCATACGAGCAGCTTTAATTTGAAAAAACTATAAAAGGTAATATATTAAACAAATTTAATATCAATGTGTAGGCTAATCTTTAATTTTTAAAATAAATTAAAATAAAAAAACAATCATTTTTTTTATATATTCATAAATTTTATCTAAATTATTTAAAACATTTTAAAATAGTCATTTCAATCATTTTTATGTACTTATCTCCTACATAATTTTTATTGTAAGTATTTTATAATTTTAGACTGTGCACACTTCAAATTATAAAGAGATTGAAAAATATCTCAAAAGTTTTGGGGTAATGGAAGAAGATAAACCCACTTCCAAATCAAATTTAATACAAACAAAATTAACCAATTTGGATTCATCAACACCTGGTGTATCCCAAAAATTGGCTGACAAAGTCATTATGAACTTTATAATAGATACAGTTCAACCATTATCCTTGGTGGATAATGATTCTTTTATAAAGATGATAAACACTTTTTCTCCACGGACCAAGATATTTTGCCGGCAGACATTGATGGCAAGAATTTTGGAGAGCTTTAAGGAAATGAAAGAATCTTTGATATTAAATCTATCAGATGTCTCCTACGTCTGTACAACGGCAGATTGCTGGACTCACAATAAAAGGTAAAAATGTTTATTTTCTGATTTATAATATGTCATATTTTTAGAGCTTATTTAGGAGTAACTGCACATTGGATTGATCCTAAAAATCTTAAACGAAAATCTCTAGCGTTAGCTCTAAAGAGAATAATTGGCTGTCAGACTTATGACATTCTAGCCAATATTATTGCAGAAATCCATAGGTCTTACAAAATTCAAAACAAGGTTTGTAAGATGATTACGGATAATGGGTCTAATTTCCTGAAGGCCTTCAGGTTTTAAATTTATTATAATTTTTTTATAATATGATATAAATAATATAGAATATTTGGGGAAGGTAATAATAATAACAATACTAGTAATATTCCTGACAAAAATATTGAAGATGGAGAACAGGAAGAGGATGATATAAATTAGATTTCCAGATCTGTATGATGATGATAATGTAATAGCTGCTATCATTCATCCTAGTTTCAAGTTAAATTGGCCATAATTAATTTGACTGAATCTAAAGGGCAACTTGATAGGCTGACGGTAACGTTAAAAAATGGCATGCCTAACCACGATACTATAGCAAGATCGAAACCGCAGCCTTCCATAGACGATTTTTTTGAAATAAATAATAATAATAATATTATTGAACCTCTAGATGCTTTTTTTAAATCTAAAAATACTAATTTAAATATTTTTGATGATTTTTTTCATATAAAAAGTTTGTTTATTAAATTTAATACTGCGTTGCCCTCAAGTGCTAGTGCTGAACGATTATTTAGTATGGCAAAGCTTATACTTTCTGATCGTCGCTCTAGACTTGGGGATGACAGTACCGAAATGTTATTATTATTAAAGTGCAATAATAAATAAATTATATATATATATATATGTAACAAATTATAGTCATGTTTTTATATCAATATTTTATTTGTGGAAATAAAGTTACGTAAAAAAAAATATTTAAAAAAAAATCAAAGTAGCGTAAGCCCTACTCATTTGAAAACGATAGCGGTAGCGATAGCGGCCGCTACTTTTAAAAGGGAGCGTAGCGCCCTTTAAGCAACAACATGCTAAAATTGATCTTAGACGAAGGTCAATACTTAATTTTATGTGATTTTTAAGAAAACTATAGCTTTATACTTCAGGATGAAGTATAAAGTTATCATTGGAATAGGGCTCAATCCACTTTTCACCCTTTTGTTATATATTATAAAGTATGCCAATATTTGTTGCCTATATGTAATGATATCCGAATCTTTGCAACACAATACAATAGCAGTACATTATTTCAAAAAAACATTGGTAAATTTTTTAATTAATAAAATTTGTATGCCAAATAAAATATTTTATTTTTCCGATGGCTCCGCTGAACAGTATAAAAATCGTATTAATATTTGCCATCATGAGATGGATTTCGAGGTACAGAAGGAATGACATTTTTCTGCTACAGCACACGGGAAAAGTGTTTGCAATGGGATTGGTGGCACTGCTAAAAGATTAGCCGCTAGAGCTAGTTTACAAAGGCCTTACTGAAAGCAATTAATCACATCATATGAATTGTATGAGTTCGTTAAAGAAAATATTAAAGGCATATATTTTGAATATATGACCCAAAAAAATTATGATTACGAAGAACTATTACTCAGGGAAAGATTTTCAAACCTATACCTACACAGAAATTTCACACCGTGATTCCAACAGGTCTACATCAATTTAAAAGTAAAATGTATTCCACCTCAATAGAAAGCACTATAGAATATTTATCATATAATGATGAAAGTATAATTTTTGGAGAAGTATCAGGATACATAACGTGTGTTTATAATTCTAATTGGTGGTTAGCTTTTGTTTTACGGAAAAATCAAAGCAGGAAGAAATATATATAAAATTTTTAAACCCATTCAGACCTTGTAATTCCTTTACATTTCCAAGTATAGACGACACAATTTACTTTCCAATGTCATATCTTATCATTGTTTCACCGTTAACTGCTAGGCCGTAGTTAAACATTGTCGTCACAAGAAAGTAAACGCGCTACCGAAAAATCAGAATCTTTTAAAAGTGAGTTATATATTTTTTTTTCCAAATAATTATTTTATTAATATTTTAAAAATCAAAATAATCATAAAAAGTCAAAATGAACGTTAAAAGTAAAACATATATACGTAATTTAAAAAAATATATTAAAAATATCATGTAAACTATTTGTAAAATAAAATCTATATAAAAACTGTATAATAAAAAAATTGGTGTAATAAATTGTATGTTGGGTGGGAGGAGGTCAAGGAGCCGTGAATGGCAATGTAGTTAGATCTGCATATATCAATAGATATGCGCTGTCTGAGATAGAAGCCTTCCTGTGGGTCACCAGTGATGGCGCGATTTTTAAATTTATATTATATCAATTATATTTAATATTTAGAGCGCCATATATGAAATGCACAAGATTCTGATTCATATATTCAAGAACTATAAACTTGGTTGAATATATTTTATTAATATTCATTAAATATATGTTATATAGGCAAAATATTTTATAATAAATTTTAAATAAAGTAAATATTTAAATTTCTTTTATCGATAGACAATTTCTATAATTGAATGAAAGTCCCATTTATTGATATTTTCACTTGATCAATAATCCTTTAAATTATATCAAATAGTTCAAGAAAAACCATTAAAAACTGATTAATACATAATTTTATACAAAGACGCCCTCTTTAGGGAAAATATTTATACACTTTTCTAAACATTTTTATCGATTTAGAGAATGAAGATGGCCGCGTTCCAGACCAATTTTTAAATTTTTTTTTTAAATTGAAGGTCGTATTATTTCCAAAAAATTGTTTTTAGTCCTTGCATATTGAATAAAATGACCGGAAATTGGAAAAATTTTTTTTATCTCAAAGTAGAATCTTTGTACGTAATTTTTATATTAAATTTATTATTTAAAATTATGTAGTTTTTAAGATATGCTTAATTGAATGAAGGCAGATAATGGTAAAATTACGTCATTTTTGCCACTTTGAACCCTAATATCTCCAAAAATATAAATATTACTAGGCTAAAATTTTGGCTATTTTTTAACTACACTAACCTTTCTTTTCTTACCAAATTTTATAAAATTCGAAGGGGGTCGACCGAATCATGAATGATTTGTCCAGTTAAAATTCCCTCTAAACTCAATTCACAGCTCAGAGTTCAAAAATTTTAATTTGATATATTTTTTTAAAAACCAATGCAATCAAGTCAAAATCTTATATTTCTATTTAAAATCCAATACTAAACTAAAATTTACATTCTCTTTTGTAGCCACTGGATGAATATTTGATATTTTGACATGAACTTCTTCGCCCGTGTAAGTATTATACCATATCTAATTTTCATAAAGATTTAAATTATATAAATATTATAAAGTTACATTATTTCCTGGAAAATACATGTTGACTTCAATAGTCCCCGGGTCAGTAACTGGATGTATTAATAATGCATCACCTTAAAACAAAACAAATATTTCATTTAAAATGCGTTCAATGCAGAATAAATTAAATATCAAATATAAATGTTGGAAAAATTTGTAGGACTTGATACTTTATTATTAAATTCAGAGGCAGAAAATGTACATAAAATTTTATTACATCTTTAAAGGTAAATAAAATAAGGCTGAATATTTTTTAGTTGCTAACAATGTAGATAGTTCATAAAATTAGTCATTAACAATAATTTTTATTCATTAAATTTATATAAATATTAGTGTTGTTAATGGAGAAATATTACTAGTTTTATTTTTCGGATTTTTAAAATCATATCATTATTTTTCGGTCCGCTCTGGGACTGCAGATCTTTGATATATATATCATTTACTATCTTTGTATTATGATTTCCCAAACTAAAAATTACTGTTATAAATATAATGCCTCTTTATATCCAAAGCTCCTATAGAATATTATTAGTCTAGGAAAGCTTTTTTTTTAAGAAAATCGAGTACACCTTTTAGAGACCAATTTGAAAATATTTGTTACTAATAAAGTCAAATAAAAATCTATTTAACAGTCCAAATAAATATTATAATGTAGTATGTTTTTTTCAGTGCAATTGTTTGTTTCGTTATATTAATTTGTATTTCTTTTAAATTCGTTTAATTAAAATTTGTAAATCGTATTAAAAAATTATAAAGAAATGGAACTGTACAAATAAATTAAGAATTAACTTGCAATATAACTAGTTATTTTTGGAAAATGTTACACTTTTTTAATTAAGTAACTAGTTAATTTTCAAAAGTAGCTTTTAACAACAATAGTAAATGTATAAATTTACCAATCATATGTGTATTGTCGATATCAAAGGTCTTTTCCTCTTTAGAAAATTCAACCCATAAAGGTCTCATTACGGGCATCCCTGAATTTTCCGATTCATAAAATAAGGTGTACCTAATATAAATAATTATTATTGGAATTTTTTTTTTAAATAATAAAAATATTTTTTTATTGATTTAATTTTAAACATGGTTAATATATTGTGTTAAAAAATATATGGTATTTATTTTTAAATTAAATAAAATTAATTCGTAAAGTTTTGAACGAATGTGAACGCGTTCCTTTTCTTGAAGGTGAACGTTGAACGTAGCGCGTTCGATTTTTTTGCCAAATAATGAAAATACCTTACATTCTTATTCCAATATACCACCCACAAGCACAAAGTCTCTTTCCTCAATACCATTAGATAAATTTCAAACTGATGAACCAATTAATAATAAAGTTAATAGTGGACTGCTTGCCAATGAAGACTTTTGAAAGTTCAGGTCTTCACAATTTAATAATATACTTAAACTCAACTGCTACAATCTGGTCAAAAAACAAAGTTAGAAAATTTTAGACAACTAATTTTGAAAAACTAAAAAATTCATTAAGGGAGATTTTAAATAATATAGATTCCTTAATAAGTTTACTATAGATATGTCGAGTAGCATAAATAAAAATCCATTCATAGCCTTAATTGCATACTATATTGATTCTTCATTTATATTAAAAAATATCTGACTTGCATACCCCATTTCCTCATACTTCTGAGGAAATATTCTAAAGTCGAGGAAATATTCTAAAGTCTCCCAAAATCCTACCTTCAGCCTCATCGTGGCGGGGGAGTGGCAACGTCTTTTGGCGGCAAATGGAGGTCTAAAAGGTTCCCTGTGATCTGGGTCTAGAATAGGATCACCGTCTCCTCGACGGGGTGTAAAAACCACTTAAAGAGGTTGATGTCAGGAAGGGCATCCGATTGTAAAAACCATGCTACAAAAATTTCCCTATGGTTACAACAAAGCATGGGCGGGGTACAGCCCAAAGTACCCCGTGGGCCTCCTCATCCGCCTACGACAAAAAGAAGGATGGGAAACCTGGTGGAACCACTATTCATGAAAATGAAACCTATGACGGCCATAAACGACCTATTAAAAAGTGGAGAAACCAGTTTACGGGTGATCGAGTTAGGGTCGCGACATGGAATGTTGGGAGTATGACGGGAAGAGCGGGAGAAGTCGTCGATGTATTGCACAGAAGACATATAGATGTGTGCTGCATACAGGAGACTAGATGGAAAGGAAATGGGACCAGAATGATTGGCAAGACTAGCGAAAAGTATAAATTCTTTTGGCAAGGAGGTAATGATGGTAAGGCTGGAGTTGGGGTATTGGTTGCGGAGAAATTGGTAGACAAAGTAGTCGAAGTGAGAAGGCTAGACAACCAGATAATGGTTATCAAGATGATTATTGGTAGAAAGCTATATAATATGATCTCGGCATATGTTCCTCAGGTTGGAAGAAGTGAAGAAGAGAAAGATGTATTTTGGGACAGTCTATTGGGGGTGACATCGAGACTGGCAAATGAAGAGGGGATTATCCTGGCTGGCGATCTGAATGGACATGTGGGAGCGAGTAGTGAGGGTTATGAAGGAGTACATGGAGGGTTCGGTTACGGCATGAGAAATTTGGAAGGAGAGAGGATTTTAGAATTTAGTGATGCTATGGATATGATTGTTTGTAATACAATGTTTAAGAAAGAATCAGAGAAGCTGGTGACTTATAAGTCGGGTAGTACCAAAAGTGTTGTGGATTACTTGTTATTAAGGAGATGTGATCGATGTATAATAAAAAATGTGAAAGTGATACCGGGAGAGGAATGTATAAATCAGCATCGACTAGTTGTAGGAGATCTCACTCTTAAAGGTGCCAGGGTCACTAAAAGAAAGTTTGTCCCAAGGCTGAAGGTTTGGAAATTGAAGGAGGAGAATGCTAGACGTCAATTCAATATGGCATTGGCGATTAGGGAGGCGGAGGTGGCACAAGCATCTGGGGTGAATGACAAGTGGGAAGCCATGAAGAAAGCTTGGGTAATGACAACTGAGGAGGTATGTGGATGGACAAAAGGGCCGCCTAGACATAAGGAGACTTGGTGGTGGAGCCCAGAGGTAGCGAAAGCCGTGGATGAGAAACGGAGGTGTTTCAAAGTATGGTATAATAGCAAAGAAAATAGTGATAATGATATTTACAAGATGGCTAAAAGAAATGCTAAGAAATTAATAGCGAAGGCTCAAGAAGAAAAAAGACACGAGTTTGCTAAAGAAATGAAATGCGCTGATGGAATTGGAAATATGGTTAGAATGGCAAAACAGATGTCAAAAAAGAGGCAGGATGTGATAGGTGTAAAGTGTTTGAAAAATATGGAAGGAAAAATGACGATTGATAGTAGTGGTATTAAGAACACCTGGAAGATTTACATGAAAGGACTTTTGAATGAAGAAAATGAATGGAATAATAATATTAGTTGTGCAAAGGTAGAAGGTCCAGGGTGTAAATTTGGCAAGGACGAGATAAGGAGAGCAGTGAAAAAGATGAAGAAAGGGAAGGCATCGGGTTTAACGATGGTGGTATCAGAGATGTTTAAAGGTTCTGATGATTTAGGGATTGAATGGTTAATGAATTTAGCAAATCAGATTGTCACAGAAGGTACTATTCCCGAGGACTGGCGAAGAAGTATAATTATCCCAGTATACAAGGGGAAAGGTGATCCTTTAGATTGTGGGTCTTACAGAGCTATTAAACTCTTGGAACATGCAATGAAAGTATTTGAGAGAGTGTTAGAAAAGCGGATAAGGGAACAAATCAAAATTGATGAAATGCAGTTTGGTTTTACATCGGGAAAAGGCACGACAGATGCAATTTTTGTGGTGAGACAAATTCAGGAGAAGTATCTTGCGAAGGAAAAGAAACTCTATTATGCGTTTGTTGATTTGGAGAAAGCATTTGATAGGGTGCCGCGTGAGATTACAAGATGGGCCTTGAGAAAATCCGGTGTGGAGGAATGGTTAGTTACCGCAGTGATGGCAATGTATGTTGGAGCACAAACAGCAGTACGGACGGATCATGGTGATAGTGACAGCTTTGAGGTGAAGGTAGGACTTCATCAAGGATCCGTGCTGAGTCCATTATTATTTATCTTAGTAATGGATGTGGTGGCTAGAGAAATGCGTGAAGGACTTCCCTGGGAGATATTATATGCAGATGACCTTGTATTAATGGCAAACAGTGAGGGAGAATTGAGGGATAAAGTTAGTAAATGGAAGATGACTATGGAAGCAAAGGGCCTGAAAATGAATGCATCAAAAACAAAGGTGATGATTGGTGGGGAAAATCTAAAGATAGAAGAATCAGGTAAGTGGCCTTGTGGTGTATGTGGGAAAGGAGTTGCTAGAAATTCTATCCAATGCACCAGATGCCAGAAATGGGTACATAAAAGATGTAGTGGGAAAAAAGGCAGTTTGATGTTAGAAAGAATGACCTTTATTTGTAAAACATGCATGAAAGGGATACATAATAATGATAACCTAAAAAATGGTGGTCTGGATATTGGCAATGGGTTAACCCTAGAAAAAGTGGATAAGTTTTGTTATTTAGGTGATATGCTAAACGCAGATGGTGGTGTAGATTCTGCTGTTGTTGCAAGGATCAGACAAGCTTGGAAGAAGTTCAGAGAGATGTCATCTATTCTTACAAATAAAAAAGTTTCTCTGAAGTTAAAGGGGAAAGTTTACGTAAGCTGCGTGAGGAGTTGTTTAGTTTATGGCGGTGAAACATGGGCAATGAAAGCAATTCACGAAGCCAAATTAGAAAGAACAGAGATGAGGATGGTTAGATGGATGTGTGGGGTATCTCTGAGAGAGAGAAAAACTAGCAAGGAATTGCGAGCAAGATTAGGTATAGAAATGATTGGTATGGTAATGCGACGAAATAGACTAAGATGGTTTGGGCATGTGGAACGTATGACAAGAGATGACTGGGTAAAGAGATGCACAATGATGGAAGTAGGAGGATCAAGACCTAGAGGAAGACCCAAGATGACGTGGACAAATGTGATAGCGGCGGATATGAGAAGCTTGAATCTTACAAGTATTGATGCTCAGGACCGTCAAAAATGGAAAAGAAAAATCAGAGGGAAAACTGGCCTACCCGGGTAAACCTGGAAATCGCCATAAAACGGAGAAGAAGAAGAAGAAAATATTATATCCCAAAAAATATTTTTGTATGGGGATTGTATATCTGCAGAAATGAAAGAAGAAAAAATTTCAGAACTTCATACTTATTTGAAAGATTCTCATATTTCATTAAAGGATGACATATTAGTATGGTGGAAAACCAATAATAAAAGGTCTTTAATATTTAAACAGTAAATAGTTTATTATATAGATTTCGAGTCTTCTAACTAGCAGTTAAGAATTTTCTAGCAATTCAAGCAATATTTGTACCATGATATTTTTTAAAGCAAATCAGTTGTTAAGGATCGAATCAAAAGATCGCAGATCCAGGATTCGATCCTAAATTTGTCAATTTTCCTGGATTTATGATCCTGACTTAAATTGAGGATCGTGATAGATGTCATTTTATTTAATATTCGATCCCGATCCTTTTAAATATTAATTTTGTACTTAAAAAGCAATAAATAAAATAAAAATTTTGAAAATTAAATTAAAATATTATTTTTTTAAAAAATAAATATCTACATCATATTTTATCAACTTCCATTCCACCATATTTTATATTTCAACAATTTTCTAATTTTATCTAAAACGAAATTTAGAGCCTACAAGTTTTATTTATTATTATATATAATATAAATAAATTCTAGTATTATTATATATAATATAAATAAATTCTAGGTTTTAATAATGTCCTCCATTATATATTTGGATGATAATACATCTATTATTGATGTACAGCAGATATAAGTGAGAATTAGAATCTTTTACCATTTCATAATTTACGTATTTTACTTTATGTGAAATGGATGGAAATAACTATACAATGATCAGTGCAAAATGCTCTTTATGTAAGAACAAAATATCTTCTTCAAATATTAGTCATTTAGAAGTAATTAATTCGTTCAAAAATACAGTTATTATTATTTATTTGTGAAGATCTTAATAACATGCATATAATAAGAATTATTTACAATAATTAATAAAATATATATTGATGTGTTAATATGGGCTAAGTTTTCAGATACCTAATTCATATGAACGAACACTTATTTAATAATAAATTATTATTTATTTGTGAAGAGCTTAATAACATGCATATAATAAGAATTATTTACAATAATTAATAAAATATATATTGATGTGTTAATATGGGCTAAGTTTTCAGATACCTAATTCATATGAACGAACACTTATTTAATAATAAATTATTTATCATTGATTAATATATTTCCTTTATTGTATGATGACAGTAAAATATTCGCAGAGTTGGGCAATACCGCGAATACTAGTATCTAAGATACAAGATCCTTTTGTATCTTTTACTCAGTATCTTTTTGACATTTTTAATAAAATACTAGTATCTGTATCTAAGATCCTTTATTCTGAAAAGAATCTTGTATCTTTTTCATTTTTATTTTCTTGACAAAAGATACAAATACAGATTCTTTTTAATATTCATATTTAAAATTTTACATATAACAGTATATATCTTATTTTCTTCGAGAATCTTTTATTAATTTCCTTATTTTTTTTCACCATATTTTAAATATTAATGACAATCAAAATTAGCTGGAAAATTTATAACTCATATTGAGGTAGATAGATAAAAAAAAACAACACCAAAACGATTAAAGATTATATTTTACATATAAATGTAATTCGATAAATATCATTCCAATTTTATGTAACATTTTTTTAATTGTAAAATGATTAGCACTCATGGTAGTAAAATTTAAATTATGGAAATAAGTTCCCGCGAATCAATTCCAAATCTTTTGAGATTTAAGTATTTTTTACAGAGCAATTCAGGGGAAAAAATTCTGAGCGAAATAATATAAGTCTTTACTTATAATTAATTAGCCAAATTAAAGATAAATATCCATTATGACATATAGTAGTCTGAGAATAAGATAATTCCATCTCCATATTAGTTTTTATATTTTCAATATAATGGTATAACCTTATATTGGCCATAATTTAAACTATTTTTAAAATATTTCGGTTTATTATCAATTATAAATTGATTTATGAGTTATTTTTGACAAAAATGTGAATATGGAATAGCCTAATTCTCAGATGATATTCTCGAATATATATAAAAATGTTTTAAACTAATTTTTAACAGAGTATATATAGTTTAATTAACTAAGTAGATTTGTTGAAAAGTACGAAACATAGTTCATAACTTGCAAAATATATGGGAGGATAATTGATTTATATTAGTTAAGTTATTTCCAATTTTCTTAAATTCAATTTTTATATACAATCCATATATAAGATCACAATTTCAGAATTAAATTTTAGCCTTATCACTTAATAAGTTTCATTTTGAATTTTCACTTGTTAATTTTATGAAGAACTTCAAATAGCCCTAAAAGATATTAATGATATTAGGAAGGCAATTAATTTATTATTTCACAGTTTCTTAAATTTAATTTATATTTTTAATAATTTTTGAGATAACTGTCATAGTCAGAAATAAAAAATTTTGTTTTATCAATAAGTTTCAAATTTTTAATTTTCTCTTATCTCTTTCAAAGGAAAGAGCTTCAAATCATAGCCCTAAATGATGTTGATGATATATCTTCCAATAATAATGGCCCAATACTGTTTTAACAAATAATATTATTCGTGAAGTGATGGATAATAAAAATATAAATTTTACTCCCAATCCCCCCCCCCCCCACCCAATCTGTTTTTTATATTTTTTTGTCTTATATCCTGCTAAATAAAAATTAATTATTATACGTTATAATATAATCTTAATAAATAAGGAAAAATAAACCAATATGGAATATATGTGTATCTTTCGTAAATAGATTCTCTGATTGATTCCAAAGCTTGGGGTAATAAATATGGTTCTCTACGTTTTGAATCGATATGAGAATGTGCTCGGAAAAATGGCTGAAAAGCTGCAGCCTTTCCGATATTAATTATATAAAACTTAGAAAGACATATGATTATGGATAGCAGGTAAGACTATGTAGCACACTGTTTATTAATGAGAAGGAAAAGAAACATAAAAGTTTTTATAAAATAACCACTATTAATATTTTGCAAGTCTCAATATATTTATGTCAGTTAAATAAAAATTTAAATATATGCCTAGGTTATTCATTATTAAGATTTTGAGTCATTGTCCCTTATATTTAGGGTCAAATTGATTAAAAAATAGCTTTAGTTACTATAAATAAATAAGGTTAATGGAATAGAACACGATATTTGGTTTAATTAAAGATCGTAACGTGAAATAAAACAAAATTTATATCGAATGTGAAATTTTCTGGGATAGAATAGGATCATCGTCATCTTGACGGATAGTAAAAGTAACGAAGAGGTTGATGTCAAGAGGGCACTCAATCGTAAAAACTGCAACGAAATGAGGCCGGTACCCTTTGGGCGCACCCATCCGTCTGCGACAAATAGAAATATGGGAAACCCAGTCGACCTACAATTAGTGAAAGAGACATATGAATATAGGGCCTGACACTTCTGGCATAAATAATCTTTCTTTAGATGCCTTAGATGGATTAATAGTGGGAATATTTGGGAAGAGACGCCTTGTATAGTAAATTTTATTATTTTAATAATGGGGTATTAATGTTTTCCCCTTAAAATAATGCGTTTCATAATTAACATTATGATCAAAATATCAATGTTGATCTTTTTATAGATGTCCTTGTATTTATTTATTTTCAGGAGTTCAGCTGAATAAATAGCAGAGACGTTCCTAATGGCTCGGAATGAAAAATCAATGTATAAAAAAAATGAAGCATTGTTTCCAATTATTTATTATATATTCTCGGTAATTAACTATTTTTTTAATGTGCAAAAAAAAATTAACCTGACCCCCCACTTATCCAAGTGTAGGATGAAATTCCTAACTTGAGTGCCTCATTACAAATTTTTGCTCATCTTTAAATATGAAAATGTTATTTTTATTTTAAACAAGAATAAATATAGTAGAGAGATAGTTAAAAAATAAAAACTAATAAAATTTTTATGTAATGTATTTTTATTTTAGAGCTATATTATAAAGTGCGTACTATACTATTTTATACTTTTTACCAATGACATAAATGAGTAACCTACTACTCAAACCAAGCTGAAATATCGTGTTCCGCACTCTTTTATTTTCTGTCTTGCATATTAAAATACTATGAAATACATACTGACAGGAAAAAAGATTATATAATAAATTTTCAAAAAAGGGACAAAGAAAAAATTTAAATAAATATGCATATTACTTGATACCACCTGACAAGCAATTCCTCATCAGGGTTTCTGAAAAATCCACCAACATCGGCTCCAGAAAAAGTCATGCCTGTAACCGAAAGACAAAGCATCATAGGGATGCTTATTTTAAGATGACCCCAATCGGCAGTGTTGTCGCCGGTCCACACGGTAGCTAGCGTTCATATAATAAGTAGTTAAAACATAATGGATAAAATTATGCAAGTTTTTATAAAATATTTGATTCAATAAATGGATAAAAAGCATTCTTTAAAAACCCATTTTAAAGAACTAATTCTTTCTTCCCACAGGCACTGACTAGTCATCTGTATGAAATATTAATTGCAGTTCCATTATTCAATTTAGATAAAATAAATGAGTTTATATTTTTGATAAAAAATATTTTAATTGGTAATTCAGCTTTGTCTTATAGGAAAAGACCTTATAGGCTCACAAACTTTCCTTGCTTTAGAGGAAAACACCTTATTTAATTTCATTTGTATCTCCCAATTTTCCTCCAACCCAAACATTGATCCGATTATTACAGTTGAAAGGAAACCATTACTTTTCTGATTATCACTTTATACCAATAATTATTTCCATATGAGTTATTTTTTATGATTTTCGGTAAAAAAAAAATTCTCAAATTAATGGTGATCATGGAACCATGATTTAAATATATTTTTAATAAAATTCTGTTTACTAAATTTGATCAAAATACTTAATATAAGGAAAGACAAAGAAATAATTTTCATAAGAAAAATACTAAATTGTACTAGTAATCATTACCTATTAGAAAAAATACTTGATTCATTTTCTATTATAATGTTTCAATATTTGACATATTTAATTGTATAATTCTGATCTCAATATAGTGAGAAATTATTTTATATTCTAAAAAAAAAAATTATTGCTAAATTCAGGGCTGCAAATCCTCCTTCTAAAAAGAGGGTTCTGGTTTAGTGAAATAGCTCTGAACCCGATTCGGGTTCAAGGTTTGTAGTCTAGAAAAATAAATATATAATTTAGCAAAAATAACAGAAACATCAGTTGTTATAATGTATTATTTAGAATTTACCATAAAAATAATTTTTTCATTATAATTAATCCAAAAACTAGATGTTAACATTAAAAGATCAACTTTTATGCCTAACTTTAGCAGTGCATTGGAACTTTTCATGCATTCGAAATTGGTAATTGAATTTAATTGTTTAAAAGAAAACTAGTTTTCCTAAACGATTCCTATGTTTGGAATACATTCCATAGGATAGAAATACTCTACTGACTATTGATTGTTTTCCTATAAATTAAATAGTCTTGCTAACCATCATTCATTTTTTTTTATTTAATCTAACATATTTTTATTAAACGAGTGTTTGTTAAATTTGAACAGATTTGATGGATTATGTTGATTTTCAGGATGGTAGATTATAAAAACAACCATATAATACTTATTAAATATTAAACTAATCTAATTTTTTTTTAAGATGCTTATAATTTATTTATTAGAAAAAAATTCATTATTTATATATAAATCATCATTGAAAAATATATAATTAGTATAATTAGTAAACAATTACGAAAAAAAAAATCATAATAACAAAAGGACAATATTGAGGCATAAGCGAAAGCAGCAGAAATTATTCAAAACCTCCTTCATCTAATCATCAGGAGAGATCGAATTAATAAAACAAACATAATTAGCCTTAAGAATGGCTATTGCTATCCTCTGCCTTAAGTAAAAACCTTCGCGAGGCTCCCCAGAATTTTTTCTATTTAATCTTTTTTTAAATTTTGTCAAATAACCAAATATTTTAAAAATGATTAGAATACTTATTTGATTTGTGTAATATTTAATAATAAAAATTGATTTATCCTTAGAAAACGGATTAATTAACCATATTTATCATATTATAATTTAAAAACTAGCCTCTATCAGAAAAAGGGAAGAGAGGGAGAGTTTTAATTGGGACATAATAAATTGCCACAAAACTAATGATCAAGATTATTTTAAATTAAGTGTATTAACGAATATTTTAAATTTGGCTAAATCAGGACATCCAATTGGGAAATAACGATAGCTAAAATTAAAAGTAATAAAACCACCATTATTTTATTAGTCAAAAAAATAAAATTTTAATAGTTTAGAAGTTTTATTAAGGATATTCATAATAATATTCGTTTTAGAAAATGAATGACTTTATTTTTTTAAGAGTTTGTACATATCGATTTTTTGATTACAAAATAAAAATTAGCTCATGATTTATTCATATATAGTTTTTCAATAATTCCCTAAACGGATCTCCTGAAGCATTAATTTTTTACAAAGAAATATTATAATTAAGTTAAAAAAAATAATGTATGATATTTTTCAAATCTGTAACTTCTATAATTTAAATCAGAGACCTGCAGGCCCGGCCCTAAACCCGGCCCGGCTCTGTTTTTAAATATACCCGGGCCGGGCCTAAAAAAAATTTTTTTAAACATATCCGGGCCGGGCCTAAAAAATTTTTTTTTAATATATCCGGGCCGGGCTTAAGATTGTTAAACCCGGGCCGGGCGGGCCTTAATATTTTTTATAAAAATTTTTACATTATGAGTTAGTGGTTATAAGATTATATTATATTATAGTTATGATTAATATAATATTGGGTGATGGTTAACACTACCTAACAACCCACAGATCGATCTAATTATTAATTTCCTGCAAATTTATTCAAAGTATTAATATATTTTTTTATAATTCATATCTAAATTTTTACAACATATTTTACCAAAACAATTAAATAAAGGAATATCTTAAATAAGCCCCAATATTCAAGTATTATGAATATATTTTTTTATAATTCATATCTAAATTTTTAGAATATATTTTACCAAAACAATCAAATAAAGGATTATCACTTCTTAAAGTTTGTAATTGATTTTACTTAATATAAAGCATTTTTTAATTGAAAAATTTGTTTTACACAAGTATCATTTTATTTCTCTTTTTCTCTGTCCCAAATTCAAGCAATTATGTATGTAGTCAGGGACAGATCGCAAAATGACGGAAAACTATGTAAAAGATTATATAAAATTACAAGAGGCTCAGGAAGTAAATGAAATACCATCGACCAGTCAAATTACGTCTGTTGTTAAACAAACAAAATCGTTTTATGACAAATGGGGCGATGGTAATTCTGGTAATATGTCAATACCCGATGATGAATATTATAATTACATAAATAATAGATAAAACATTTAAGGTGGATAATTTTTAGAGTGGTGGGCGGTCATCAAAGCGAATTTCCAATTTTAGCAAATTGGCAATTCCTGTTTAGTGCAAGCTGTGAGCGGAATTTTCCACTACTGGAGAATTTTGAAGAAAGAAGAAGTAATCTTCAACCTGAAAAGGTAGATATGCTTTTCTTTCTTCATGATAATTTGTGAATTTTTAATATCTTTCTTGAGTATAGGGTTTCGTCAATCATGCTGGTTTTTTACTTTGCAAACTGTCAAATATTTATTGCATTTATTATATTTACCTTGAGTCATGAAAGTTTTTAATCCAACATTTTTCATTATTTTTTTTTACAATATTATATAATACAATTATCTTCTTTTGTTAAAAATTTATATTATAAAATAAATTATATTAATATTGTGCAATTAGATTATATTTTCAAAATACTATTTATTTTACATGCATTTTTTTAAATAGCGATTTATTTTTATTTTATAAATTAAATAATAAATTAAATACAATATATTATATTCTCAAAATATTTTCCATTTTTATAAATTAAATATTAGTTTTATTTTTTTTAAATGTAATATAAAATATAGTATATGACAAATATTATTACCATTTTTATGAATATTAGTTTTATTTTTATAAATGCAATATATAATATAGTATATGCTCAAAATATCCATTTTTATAAATAACAGTTTTATAATTTTTATAAATTCAATATAATATTCTCAAAATATTAGCTTTTTACATGCATTTTTTAAATAATAAGCGATAATACTCACTGAAAAATATGGTAAATACCTCATAGGTGAATTTTTGTATATACCAGGTCGAATATAATTTAAAAAAATTCCGAGCCGGGCCTGAAATTTTTAAATCCGGCCAGGCCGGGCCGTAAAAATTTTTTTAAAAAATATCCGGGCCGGGCCTTAAATTTTTAAATCCGGGCCGGGCCGTAAAAAATTTTTTTTAAAAATATCCGGGCCGGGCCTAAAAAATTTAAAACCGGGCCGGGCCGTGCAAATGGTACCTCTGCAGGTCTCTGATTTAAATATTAGAATTTGGTTTAAATCTCAAGATTTTTGACAACCCTAGTTTAGATTAAACTATTTTCGTTTCTTCAGATTTCCCCCCCCCCCCATTTTTTTTAAAACTTATTTTTGTCTTGTTTAAATTGTTAACTTATTTTATTTTTTTAAATGTTATTTTAATATAGTATTATACAACATACTTTTTAATATAAATAAAGAGATCATATTAATAAAAAAATAAATAAATTTTTTAAAATAAATTTAAATTATCCAATATACTAACCAGTTCTTTGAGATCCAGCAAAAAAACCTCGAGCCAAAACGAAAGGCCTGATTTTTCCATTAGAACGTTGGTATAGTCCTTCAAATGTCGCGTTATGCTTAATAATTAATCATGAATTAGCACAATTTAAAGTATATAAAAATATTGGTTGATCATCTTTTCTCGCACCTTAGTTGCGCCTAGGATATGCTGGATATCCAGTAGCCAAGAAGAGTTGAGACACTGAAGGCTAATAATGACAGGCGATCAATCTACTATAAATCCCACTAAAATGAGTAAAATTTGGGCAGAGCTGTAAGACATACAATCTCCTTTTATAATGTATGCTCCACGAAACCTTATTATATAAAAATTATAGGCTGCTTAGTAAATAAATTACACATAATCGATGTTCAAGTATATCGTTAACGAATGCTCAGCATCAACATTTATTTGTACTCTTAAAGAATTCTAAATGGATATTTGCTTATACCTCTGGCTCACCATGACATGGTGGACAAGGACATCTTCCATCTAAATATAATTATTTCGAATCTTGGCCTAGATCCTATTACTAATAGTTCCTAAAATATAAGTGGTAAAAAAAATTCGCAAAATAACCTTTTTGAAAAAACAATTTGTAAAATCGAGATAAAAAAATGGATTAATGATAAAAATAAAAATTAGGTGATTTTTTAATAAATATTAAAGATTATTTTATAAATAATGTGGTTTAGTTTAAGTTATAAATTTTCGATCTGAACATATGCTTCGCTATTCGATTATTTCTAAATTTAATAAAAAATTAAATTGGGACAGCCAGGTTTAGTAATTGGAATTTTAAATAAGAGAATATTTTTTTATGGCGCTCTCATAAGATAATTAATTTTTATTAAAATAATTATTTTTTTCCATTTCTACTAAAAATGAGATTATTTAGCCTATTAGATTTTTCCGATTATATTTTATTTGTATAAAAAATTTAAATTTTCGATGTAAATGAATAATAAAATATTAAATTTAAAGAAATTCTGATAGCAAACACATGGAACTTTCAAGTTCAAAATTTATAACGTAAATAAGGAGTTGGGCAGCACCGGGATTTGTATCTTGTAATAAATATATTTTTAATAAGATACCCGTTATTGTATAAAAAATCTTATATCTTCTCAATTTTTTTTGACATAGAATAAAGATACTTTTTTATTTTTGTTTAAAAAATTTAATAATGCCAAATAACCTTAGTAAATTCTTTTATTAATATTTCCCTCTTTCCTGTTGTCATAATTTAAAAATATTGGTAAAATATAAAGTATAAAAAAATCATCTTGAAAACCTAAGACTAATATCAATATAGATAAAACTATAGCAGATAATGTAAAAGTTTATAGAGTTGGTCATTTTAGATAAACTAATTGCTACAGTTATAGAAAACGCCAATTTTGTCAAGTCGTTTATTAAATAGTGTAAAATTAAATGATCTTGACATTGATTGTAATAATCTCTAGGAATTTAGTTAAATTAATTATGGTGTGAGTTGAGTACATACTTTTTTCATTAAACGATTCTTGGAAGGATTTAAAGTTGTGGGAAAATGTTAAAAATATAAAGTGCAGGTGGAAAGCCCAAATCTTCAGAAAAGCTAAAAGATAACAGGTTCAGTTAACTTCCATGTATAGCTAAGTGTAATATACGATATTATAACTTCATTGTTCAAATATAAATAACATTCAAATTTATTATTTGAAAATTTCTACTTCAACTTTAAAAGATATGAATATTATTTATGTTGAAGAGTACTGTAAAGTTTTAAACCTGGTAACAATTGCATTAAAAGGATAGAGTAGTACATTTTATAGAGAATTCGTGCCCATACTATTAGTGATTAAAAGGAGTTTAGTTAAACTTGAAAATTCAGGTTCGCAATACTGTCTACTTTTATTAAAAGCTGTTCAAAATTGTATGGGCAAAAGATTTAAGAATTTTTCCACACTTTAAGAACTCATAGATTGAGTCAGAATATTAAAAAAATACCTCCAAATATATATAAGAAGGCTAAATGTAGTGATACATAATTAAACTAACACTAGATTAAGAATACAACCAAGAAAATTTTAATTATTTCTCTTTTGGTGAAACAAATGTTTTTGAGTTTAATAATAAAAATAATATTGAGTTCGAGGTTTTGAATTGGATTATCTTAAAGATCGTAAAAATACATTGGACACGATTATTACCATTCCATTAAGATTTTTTAAAATATAATACTAAAATACCATCAGCGCTTCAGTTGATTATTTAGTTGTGGCAAAATATTAAATAGTCCGAAACGGCTAAAGCCTTTTAAAAATTCATTATTTTTTTAAAATAATTATGATTTAAATACACTAAAAATTAACTCAATAAATTTTAAAATAATCTATTAAGTAAATTTATATTTCAATTCATAATAATAAGTAGTCTGCCTTGCACTAATGCAACGAAAGAGCTAAAATTAATGTCAATGTTTGATTATGTAATCACCTCATCAATACATATGATAATTTTAAATATAATCTTATCAGAGTTGTTAACGGTCTTTTTTAAAAGGAGCTAGCTCCCGCTACTGACTTTTTAAAAGGAGCGTGTACCCACTCCAAATTGGAAAAAGGAGGACCGCTTCTTAGCCGCTTTTTTTATTTTAATTTTTATAATAATCTTCTAGCATTCAATTTGATTGAATCCAAAACAATCTTCTAAATTATTGGAGAGTGATTTCTGTGTGATTGTAAATATATTAGGTTATGAAACTTGCTTTCTTATAAAATTAATTAATTTATTTTTAAATTCTCTATTTTGATCCATCCGAATCCAATTTCGGATGAATAGCAGCTAATAAACAGTTTGCAATAAAGTTATTTAAAAATATACAATTTATTTTCATTTATAAATCTTTTAAGTTTCTATTCTATCTGAAAAATCATTTAACTTAGAAGTGAGTCTATAGATAGTTTAAGTTATAAACCCCATATCAATATGAAGCTTACCTTCAGGGTTTTGCCAAAAGTTTCATAGTTTATAATTTATTTATTTCGAAAAGAATAATTAACGTTTATATTGATATACCCGGCCATATTCTTTAATAATTTAACGTCCCTGGGGGGGGGGTTAAAGATTGCAGTTTTCGGCTTAAATTTTATCTAACAATACCATGGAATTCTATTATGAATTCCATTCTGTAAACATATTTTGTTATTTCATAATTCCTGACATTTCTTGAGTAAGCTTTGTTTCTAAACTTTCTCAGCATCAACTATGACCACTAAATTTTTATCGTAGCAGGCATATCTTGAATGCTGTGGAAAAAACTCATAACTTTCTGGCTTATAAATTATTCGGCAGTTTTTTTAAATAAGAAATATGCAGTTCAAAATGAGCAGTATTTAAATTAAATAAACAATATAAAAATCATTTATTAGATATTTTAAAATTTTGGTCAGTAAATAACTAATTTTCAAGTTTTTTATTAACACTTCGGCAGTATTAAAATTATATGGGCAATTTAAAAATTATTTTTGTTTCATTAAGAAAATATATTTACAATTACACTGAAAATATTCTCCAATAATTTAGAAGATTGTTTTAGATTCAATCAAATTGAATGCTAGAAGATTATTATAAAAATTAAAATAAAAAAAAGAGGCTTCCTCCCTTTTTCAATTTGGAGTGGGTAAAGTTGAAGTAGCAAATTTCAAATAATAAATTATGTTATATATATTTGAACAATGAAGTTAAAATATCGTATATTCCACTTAGCTATACATGAAAGTTAACTGAACCTGTTATCTTTTCTGAAGATTTGGGCTTTCCACCTGCATTTCATATTTTTAACATTTTCCCATCACTTTATAATAAATACATCCAAGAATCGTTTCATGAAAAAAGTATTGTACTCACACCATAATTAATTTAACTAAATTCCTAGAGATTATTATAATCATTGTCAAATTTAATTTTACACTATTTAATAAATGACTTGACAAAATTGGCGTTTTCTATAACTATAGCAATTAGTTTATCTAAAATAACCAACTCTATAGACTTTTACATTATCTGCTATAGTTTTATCTATCTTGATATAGGTCTTAGGTTTTCAAGATGATTTTTTTTATACTTTATATTTTACCGATATTTTTAAAATAGAAAAGAGAGAATATTAAAATTAATAAAAGAATTTACTAAAAATAAAGTTATTTGGGATTATTAAATTTTTTAAACAAAAATAAAAAAGATGTCAAAAAAATAGAGAAGATACAAGAATACAAATACAGACAGGTATCTTATTAAAAATATATTTATTACAAGATACAAATCCCGGTGCTGCCCAACTCTTTATTTACGTTATAAATTTTGAACCTGAAAGTTCCATGTGTTTGCTATCAGAATTTCTTTTAATTTAATATTTTATTATTCATTTACAATCTATTTAATAAAATAAAATTTCGAAAATTTAAATTTTTACAAATAAAATATAATCGGAAAAATCTAATATATTGCTAAATACTCAATTTAATAGAAATAGATAAAAATAATTATTTTAACAAAAATTAGTTATCTTATGAGAGCGCTATAAAAAATTATTCTCTTATTTAAAAAACCAATTACCAAACCCAAAATTAGTTATCTTATGAGAGCGCCATAAAAAATTATTCTCGTATTTAAAATCAATTACTAAACCCATGGCTCTCCCAATTAAATTTTTTCTTACAAATTGATATAATGTAAGTTAATAATACAATATTAAATTTAGAAATAATCGAATAGCGAAACACATGGAGTTTTCAGATCGAAAATTTATAACTTAAACAAAACCACATCATCATTATAAAAAAATCTTTAATATTTAATAGAAAATCACCTTTTAGAAGAGAAAAAAAATATTTATTGTAGGGTGGAAATTTTATTTCATCGATTTCAATATCTTTAGCGTCTGATAACATCGCTATATCGTCATACATGGTTTATGTTTCATGATTTTAAAAAAATGAAGGGAATAAAATATAAATAAAATAACGGCTTATAGAATATATAAACAGTTTCATTGTATCTAAAATCCTTTATTAACAAAGAGTCTATTATCTGGATTCTTTTTTTTTTGAGTGCAAGCCCAACTCTTCGTAAATATAACTCGCACCATGAATATAAAAAAAATCCTTTATAAAAGGTCTTTGTTGATAAAGATCGAATCAAAAGATCGCCGATCCTGGATTCGATCTGTCAATTTTCTCGGATTTAAGATCCTGACCTTAAATTGTGGATCGTGTTCGAGATCATTTTTTTAAATATTCGATCCCGATCCTTTTAAAAATTTTAAATTTAAATATTATTTTAAAAAAAATATCTATCTACATCATATTTTATCAACCACCATACCTGATTTTATATTTCAACAATTTCCCAAATTTTTTGTAAGAACAAGTTATATTTATTTATTTATTAATTATATTATAATATAAATTCTAGGTTTAAATAATGTCCTCCATTATAGATTTAGAAGATGATACATCTACTTCTATTGATGTGACAGCAGATATAAATGAGAATGAGAATCTTTTACCATTTCATAATTTACGTAAGTATTTTACTTTAGACGGATGGAAGTAACCATACAATGATCTATGCAAAATGCTCTTTACGCAAAAACAAAATATCTTCTTCAAAGATTAGCTGTTCAAATTAAAGAGGCATTTAGAAGTGATTAATTCTTTTAAAAATATAATTTTTATTATTTGTGAAGATCATAACAATATGCATATAATAAAAATTATAGATCTTCTTCACTATATGATGACAGTAATATATTGGCATCAATAATTCACCCAAAATTTAAGCTCAATTGGCATTTTATTAATGTAACACAAAATTTGTTTCTAAAAGAAAGGTTAATTGCCCATTTAGAAAATATACAAAGTCAACCATATGCAGATCCTTCAAATGAATGCATGGATCGATACCTTTTTTGAGAAAAACTCGTCACAAAATGCTCTTTCCATTAATAATTTTTTTTATTCTAATGATGATTCAGTGAATATTTTTAATAATTATGTTAATTAAAAAAAGACATTTATTGAATATAACACATCTTAACCATCAAGGTTTAGTAAAGCTAAACATGTACTTAATGAAAAAAGTGGTTTTAAATGATAATAATTTAGAAAAAATTTTATTATTAAAGGCTAACTTAATTATAATAAATATATTCTAATTGTTATACTTATATTATAATTCAATTACATATTTATTTATTTTTTATATTAGTTAATTTTGCATCGATCAGAAATTTAAATAGAAAAGGATCGTGATCCTTTTTTTAAAAAAAGATCGTGATGGGGATTCGATCTTTTTAAAAGGATCGATTAAGGGTCTTTAGTATATTTTAACTTCTCAATTTTTTAAATCCTATTTTTCAAAAATTTAACATTTTTGACTATTGATATCTCATGAACTATTCATACAAGGCTAAAATTTTGGATCTTTCTAATGATGTTATCCCAGTTTGTAAAATTTTATCAAAATTAAAAAAGTCGGGTTGTAAACTTATCGATTTGATATGGAATTACCCTTTAAATACATCCAAAACGGGTAAAGACTAAATTCTGGTCTAGAGGCCTGAACTCTCAAGTCTACTCAAATTCGCTTTCCACACCGCTCCTCAAGGATGTAGGCTTGAACGGTTGTATCCAAATACCTATTTGATCACATTCTTATAAGCGACAAATAGCTTAGCTCGGTCAAAGATTCCAGAACTTATCACTCTGATAAAACTTTGATCACCGAATCTTAAGGGCTAAAATAAACATAAGGACAGAATCTAAAATGTCCCAAAACGAACCCATTAAAGCAGGATTTTTAAGACAAACTATCCAATTGATTTTTAAGATATCCACATATGTTAACTTAATGAACACTATTAAAAGGTTCAAAAGATCCTAAGAAAGAATGAAACACAAGAATGAGCCTCATCAAAAACCTCTCACATCTGGCAAATCATTATATCATTATCTACCAAATGTCGGAAGCCACTGAGGCTAGATAATAAATTAGACGAGTTACAAAACTGACAAACTAATTCTTTTCAAAATAAATTCTAGCAATTAATGCAATTTTAGTTATATGCCCCCAGGTAATTTTTAGGATACCAGAAATAAATAATATCTGACCTGATTTTTATAATGATAATTCCCGTTCAGCAATTTACTCCAGCAAGCATAATTTCAATTAAATATCCTCTTTGATACGTTTAATCTTGAATAATTAAAAATAAATATTCCAAAAGCTGAACTTTACACAAATCGAGCCTATAAACAAATTTAAAACTCAGCAATATAGAATTTGTTATTTTCAATATCTAAGTTCTTACGTTGTAAATACAGAATACAACGTTAAATATGCAATTTAAGGCTTCTTAAATCCATTTGGAGATCAAATTAACCATAGAGCTTAAAATATAATAAAACCAGTTGCTTAACAAAAACAATACTCTTATACGGGCCGAAAACATGTGTTAAAATACTTGTCCTCGATCTAGTCGCTTTACAAACAAATCGCCTTCAATTTAATATACATAGGGGTAAAAAAGAAAATACAAAATTTCGAATTAATACCCCTACAAAAAATCAAACGAGATTCCAGTACACATACTCTTAGACGGACCATCGGAGTTTTTGTCACATCATAAAGAAATAACATCTTTATGGTTGCAGCAAACAACTGTACACTATATTGGTAATCGATCAAACCCATCTATTCCTCCAACTATGAGAAAAATAGGTTCGCAGCTAAAGTAAAAAATAATAAAGACAAATTCAATGTCGAAAATATTATTAGATTTGATTTTTTAAATTTAACTAACCACATACAAGGCATATAAATTATGCAGAGAGCGATGTTCGACCGTATCCTTTAAATGTAAACAGTCTTTAGGCATAGTGACCTCGGGTCCACTAAAGACGGAAGGTTCATTCATATCATTCCAAAGAAAGACATCTTCCGTTGTAGTGTTAAATTCTTTAAAATCAAATTTAGAGGCCCACCAATCTCTCACGTCCTTCCTAGCAAAGTCTGGGTATTTTGAGTTGCCTAAAATTATATTTGAAAAATAGGAAAATGGTTAATTCTTCAATCGGTTATCAAAAAAAATTTTAATATACAATTCAATAAAATAATTTGATGTATAAAAACATGAAAATTATGAAATAGAAAAGTATTCTGGCAAGGATTATGATCACATTTAATCTTCCTAAAAGTAAAGGCAACAAATTTCAATTTTTTTGCCGACTTGAGCAAAACATCATAAAAACTGTTGGAGAATTTATAATCTCAAACATTGTTGAATTATAAGAAACGGTTGAGTTCTCAAAACCAGCACCACTAATGACAAAAAAATGATGAAATATTCACAAGCAGTGCTAAATCTAAATATATTATATACGTAAAACTCCAAGAAGCAAATCTAGGTTGGGACATTTCATAACAAAAGTTGAACAACCAAAATAAGCTGTATACCAAAATGAAACTGAAAGCATTTATGCAAGTGTAAAATTAGAGTTAAAATTCACAGTTACAATTCAATTTTAACGGTCAAGAAAGCTGATAGGTCTAAAATTTTCCCAAATCCCAATCAAGGATATAATTTATGTATCAAAGACTTCATAATATATAATTATGAGGGTTTGTTAATATCATAAGTAAGTCTTTTTAAAAAAGATTTCTAGTATTTAAAACTATAAAATATTAACTAAGGTGCTAAAATTTAAGACCGATCTGGTGTTCAGACCTGCTCTGAGTACCATTCAAAATATTGATCCCCCCAAAACTTGACACCAGGGTGCAACGGAGGCAACAAAATCTTATTTTTAGAAACAGGGATATTTACGCGATTTTTTTCAAGAACGTTGGGACGATCCTCCCATTCAGATACTGTATAATGTTTTAGAGTTTCTCTGGAATTCTAGAGACAAAGAAAACACGAATGCTTGGTGTAGCCTAACTGAAGGACCGTCAGGATTGCGATCATTTTGAGATCACATCTTAAATTCGTAAATGGAATATATTTTTGTCAATAAATATTTCATATGATTCATTTAACTGGTTGGAATAGGCGATGGGAATTGATGGCTTAAAATTTCCGTTATGAAGCAAAACTGCTTTCAAGCTGTTTTTGCTTGAATCGATGAACAAGCGCCATCATCGGGCACCAATTCAATATTAAGTTGTAAAAAAAGTTGACCTAGATTGTTGGAATAGTATAAAAAAAATTCGTAAGAGAATAAATTTTTAAACGATGCTACACGGAATCGGTATGAAGTTCGAACTCCATTTTTTAAATTTTAAAATCATTAAGCCTTGAGGCTAAAAATTCGGACTTTCTTTTTGAAAGTTGTAAATTTCTGGTTATGTCATTTAGTTGCTCTTGTGACATAAATGGCGAATCCTCTTCGGGATGATACTCAAGATCAATATTGTCATGGTCCTGGCAACGTAATAATTTTTTGACCTATGTTAATAAGTTAAAAAAATTTAGTGAGGATGTGACATCGATAAGTGACAATTTTCCATGCTACATCTTATGAATTTTTAATTTAACATGTTTACAATCTGTATTTTCATTTGCGTCAAAAATAATTCAAAAAACTTTTAAAATAACGATTATGACAATTGTCACTTATATAGGGTACATACTCACTGAAATTTTATTTAAACCTATTTTCGTCAAAAAATTTAAAAATTATGACAATTGTCACTTTTTTATTGCACATCTTCGTGAAATATTAATTAAACATGTTTACAATCTATATTTTTATCCATTTTTGTCAAAAAATTCAAAAAACTTTAAAAGTAACGATTATGACAATTGTCGCTTATTTAGGGTATATCTTAATTGAAGTTTCATTTAAGCATGTTAGCAATACTTATTTTAGCCCCATTTCGTTCAAAAAAATTTAAAAAGCATTAAAAATTACGATTATAACAATTGTCATTTTTATATGATACATCTTAATTGAAATTTTAATTTAGCATGTTAAAAATACATATTTTTGCCCACTAGCGTCAAAATAAATCTAAAATTTTATAAATACCGATTATGATAATTGCCATTTTTCCAAGGAACATCTCCATTGATTTTATAATTTAACATCAATACAATATAAATTATATTTCTACCCTTTTGTGTCAAAAAATTTATAAAATGTTAAAAAATAACGAATATGGCAATTAGCAAACTAATATTTTTAAATAAAATTCAGGCCGGGTCGGGTCGGGCCTTGGTAAATTTTTAAATATATTAATATTATTTATTAATTTTATAATGAATTTTTTGTGTAAAATAAAAATATTTAATTTTATTTATAGAACTAGACGCCATATAACATATTTCTTTTATTTTAAGTAATTATAAAAATTAATTTCTATATTTAAATAAATTCGGGCCGGGTCGGTAAATTTTCTTTAAAAAAATTTCGGGTTCGGGTGGAAGGGCCTAAACATTTTTAAAAAAATTCGGGCCGGGCCGGGCTTGAAAATTAGGCCCGATGCAGATCACTAATGACAATTGTCATATTAAAATATTAACCTTAAAAATATCATAAAATAATATAAAAATGTTTAATATAATATTTTTAAAAAATTATTTAGAAAAAAACGACCTCTTTTAATATACTTGAAAAAATAGATAATTTTACAAAAATGATAAAAGATTTCACATAAAGATTGTTTATTTATATAATAAAATTCACAAAAGAATTCCTCAAGAAAGAAAGAAAGAACGTTTAAGAGAAGAGAAGAGAAGAGAAGAGAAGAGAAGAGAAGATTTAAAATTCTTATCAAATCAAAATATCTTTTTAACTTCAAAAAATTTTTTGCTTAAAATTTTAGGCGTGAAAATCACTAATAAATTGTAACAAAAATAATATACAATAGATGCATATAAAAACATTAAATATAAATAAAATAAATTATTTTACTAAGAATAAATAAATAATTAATGCTAGGCATATCTTATGGAACGCTGACGGATGATTAGCCGATGCAGAATTTTTGACTAATTTAGTTATAGCCGATTTTTAGGGTATCGCGTCATTACAGAGAAACCATAACAGAGAAAACAAAAATAGAGAAACTTTTACAGAGAAAACAATAATAGAGAAACTTTTACAGAGAAAACAATTATAGAGAATGTCGATTATAGAGAATAATTTTATAGAGAATAATTTTATAGAGAATGTATTTTACAGAGAAATTTTTATAGAGAAAGCAATTATAGAGAATGGCGTTTATAGAGAAAGATTTTACAGAGAATGATTTTACAGAATGATTTTATAGAGAATGATTTTACAAAGAATGATTTTATAGAGAATGATTTTACAGAGAATGATTTTATAGAGAATCTATTTTATAGAGAATGTATTTTTATAAATAATTATTTTATAGAGAATGTATTTAATAGAGAATTATATAAAGAATTTTATTTAAAGAATATGATTATTTTATAAAAAATGTTATATCCAGGGATTCGAACCGAACCCGGAGAAGTGAACCCGGGTTTTTAGAAAAAAACTATGAACCCGAACCGAACCTGAACCCCATTTATAAAATTTTCAAAACCCCGAACCGAACCCAAGAATTTTATTTGAACCCGGGTTCAACCGGGTTCAGTGTATTATTTAAAATCATATATTAATATATGTAAATACAAATATTATATTTTCAAATTTCCAATTAAATGAAGTGTTAATAAATTTTAAACAACTTAATTAATTTATGCCATTTTTAAATTTATTCTCGATTCCTATTGGAGTGTTAAAAAATTTTAAACAATTGAATTAATTTACGCCATTTATTTTTAAATTTTTATCTTATTATTCTTAAAGATTATTAATTAGAAGAAAATGGTTAACAAATCAAAGTAAAAATTATTATATTGTTAATTTAAAAAATTCTAAACATCTAACTTAAAAATTGTTAAATGTAGGGCAGTTTTTGTGAACTTATTAAAATGATTTTAAAATTTATATATGCTAATCATTTATTTTTGGTTCAGATTAATTTTTACAAGATATTAATGAAGTGCATATTATAAATGAAATTAAATTTATAAATATCTCTTTTTTAATTCTGAAATCATTGCTATTTTTTATAGATTTAAGATTAAAGATAAAGTCATATTTGATAAGCATACCCTTAATACAATAGAAAAAAAATCAATATGTTCATATTGCAAAGTAAAAATGTCTGGTAATCACTTGTCAAATTTAGAAAGACACCTGAAAAGAAATCACAACAATGAATATTTAAATTATTTAAATGAAAAAACCAAATATCAGGAATTGTTATTGGCAAAAAAACCTAAAATTAATATAGAAACCTTTTTTCCAAAAAAGCATATAAGTATAAATATATCATCTAATGATTTGATGAGTTCTATACTAGAATTTGTTACTGTAAATGACCGGCCTTTATCAATTATTGAAGATTCGGGATTTCAAAGAATTATAAATCCACTCCTATCTGGGCTCAATTTAGTTATAAACAAAGAAAATTTATCCAGAACTCTTAATAAAGCAGCCCAATCAATTAGAGACAAAATATCGAGAGAGGTAGAAGGAAAATTAATAAGTATAAAAGTTGATGCAGTTCAACGACTAGATAGGTCAATTCTTTGTGTAAATATTCAATTTATATCAAAATCCATTATAAATTTGAGGACTCTTGGAATTGTAGAGCTGAAAGAGAGATGTACAGGAGAATATATAAAAGAGAATATATTAAAAACTTTACTAAAATTTAAAATTAATATTGAACAAATATACACAATTACTTCTGATAATGGTTGTAATTTTTTTAAGAGCTATAAAGCTCCTGCAACCTGTAACTGATTATGATATAAGGAGTGAATCAGCAGATGAGGAAAATATGGATGTAAATGTATATAAATATATTGATGATATACAAAATACTTTTTTATCAACTATTATATCCTATCCGATTTATAGTGTACGGTGTGCAGCTCACACACTTCAGCTGGCACTTCAAGATGCTATAAAATTATCACCTATTGTGGAAACCATTGCAAAAGCTAG